TTCAAGGTATGAAATGATCCTCTTCTTCTCTGGATGTTTGTTTGCCCTCTCTAAAATTGGAAGTTGGATTCCGTGAGAGTCCTTCCAGTTCCCACATTCTACGTTGAAGACAAGGAAGGGGATGCAGACCCTAGGCTGATACCCAAGAAATTGTCCGGACCCGTGGGCGGAGAACGCAGCCGGCTTCCCCAGGGTGGGTGCGGGCGGTAGGGAGGAGGAGGGTTAGGTGGGAGAGGTGCCTTTGCGCGTGCAGTTCCATGGTCACCAGGGGAGGCTGGCACAGGAGTACGCACGTGCGGGACGAGTACATTTCCGTTGGAGACTTAGTGTTGCCTTTAACTCCCGTGCTGCCCCTTCTTCTTAACTTTCCCGAGTTAAAGTAGTATGAATATCCCCACTTTCACCAAAGGCCAGAGGGTACAAATGTCCTACCTGAATTCAGGCTCGTCTCTTTATTCTGCCTGGGAACAGGTGTTCGTCCTTGAATCTCAGGCTATTCCCTCCACCTGTGCTCTGCTAGCATTCCTCCACTCCTGCCTTTTCTGAGCCCTTCTCCCAAGTAATAATGAAACAGCACCTGAAAACTTTCCAGACTCTATGTCCCACGCTACCAGTTTCTTTCTTCTTCCTAGCACATTCTAGAAATACTAGCGCGTACTCATTTACTGCTTTGGTCACCCTCTAATCCCTAGTAGTGAGGCTTTGTCGCTCCCATCCCGTCTCCCAGCAGTGACCTAAAATTGTTTTTTCTACTGAGATTATCAGTGATCCCCGCCCCCCCTCAGCCGCCAAATTCAAGTAAAGTTGGCACGCATTCACTTCTTTATCTTTTTGGCATTTGACAAATTGATATTGCCTTTTATCTTTTTTTTTTTTTTCTCTCTTTATTTAAGTATTCTGATTAATGAAAATTGTCATAAATTGTCCAAAACACAAGCACGGTTTATATTTTCTTCGTCTGTTTTTTTTATAACTCCTTAATTGTAATCCTCATATTCCTGCCATCTACTTGTTAACCTGTACTTGTTGCAAAATCTTCATAACTAGGTCATTTTATGACTGAAAAGTTGAGAGTGTGCCATATTTTATACATTCATTTTATTAATCATAATTGGATTATTAAGCTGTTGACAATTATTTACTATTGTAAATAAAAACCTTTATGCACAAACCTTTCGTTTCTGTATTGGAGATTCTTCCCATTGGATAATTTCCCAGAGAAGAAGTTATTGATAGGAAAATCATGCGTGTTTGTAAAGTTCTCGATAGTTGTGGACATGAAGATTTCCAGAAGAATGTAGCAGTTAGTATTTATACCAACAATGTATGCTTCACTCCATTCTCATCCATATATTATTTTTTAAAGCTTAATTTTGATACTTTGATAATTGAGGAGCCATATCTCCTGATTTGCATTATTTGTATTGTTATTATTTAAATTGGATATAAATCCAATTTAGCAGATATAAAATATAAGAGCTCAGCTGCTGACCAAAAGGTCAGCAGTTCAAAACCACCAGCCACTCCTTGGAAACCCTATGGGGCAGTTCTACTCTGTCCTATAGAGTCGCTTTGAGTCTGAATCGACTCAGCGGCAACAAGTTTGGTTTGGTTTTGGGTTTAAGTTTGAATATTTTCTGACACTTGTTAACCATTTACTTTTTTCCTCGATGAATAAGCTATTCACAATAATTTGCTTTATTGCTGTTCTGATCTATTTGTATTATTTCTTCCTGGTAATATGAACCTTTTTAAGGACCTATTTTAATGTGAACTATAACTCATATTGAAGAGTACATTAAATATAAATGTTGAGCTTAATGAATGATTGCAAAGTGATCACTCATGTAAACATCAGGTCAAGGAACAGGACATCACTTGGTGTGCACCTCCTTGGTAATAAACTCCTCCCTCCTTGCAGAGGTAACTGACTTTTATGGTAGTTACTTCTTGCCCCATTCCCTTTTAAAAATATGGCTTTAACACCTCTAGATGCATCTTTAAACACTATAGTTTAGTTTTCCCTGTTTTGATCTTCTTATAAATGGAAGTATACAGTATATATTCCTTTGAATTTGGTTTCTTTAAATATTGTTTGAGATTCATCCTGCAGCATATAGCTGTAGATAATATATTTGTTTTGTAGGATTTCATTATGTGAATTTACCACAATTTATTTATTGATTCTACTACTGATGGACATTTGAGTCTTTTCAGGATTTTTACCAACAATGCCACTGTGGCTATCCTTGTATATGTTTCCTGGTGTGTCTGTACACACATTTCTAATGGATATATATATATATTTGATTTATTGTTGTTGAATATACAGCAAAACATACACCAATTCAATAATTTCTGCATGTACAATTCAGTGGTGCTGATTACATTCTTCCAGTTGTGCAACCATTCTCATCCTTCTTTTCTGAGTTGGTCCTCCACCATTAACATAAACTCACTGCTCACTAAGGTTTCAACCTAATCTTTTGAGTTGCTGTTGTCAATTTGATCCCATATAGATAGATCTGAAAAGATCATAATGGTGGGCCATAGAGTATTCATATCTCCAATTTTTAAGTTAGAATCATTTTTAAATTTTAGAATAGTTTTGGATTAACAGAAAAAGAGTTCCTATACATCCTTCACCTCAATTTCCACTGTTGTTGATATCTCACATTACTATGGTGTATTTGTCACAACTAAGACAATTAATTAACTGAGACTAGTAACTAAGTTCAGCACTTTATATTTCACTAGTTTTTCCCCCAATGTCTTTTTTCTGTTCCTGGATCCTCTCCATATACATTTCGTCATCAAGTCATCTTAGTGTCCTCTGATCTTGTTTTTAATGACTTTGACAGTTTGAGGAGTACTGGTGAGGTACTGGGTTTGTCTGATGTTTTCCTCATGGTTAGACTGAGATTTTGGATTTGGGGGAAGAGGACCACAGAGGTGAAATGCCATTCTCATCACATATCAAGAGTATATACTATCAACTTGGCTTATCACTGATGATGTGAACTTGGATCACCTGGCCAATGTAATGTTTGCCAGGTGCCTCCACTGTAAACTTACTCACCCCACTTTCCACACTGTACTCTTTGGAAGCAAGTTACTAGCCCATACTTGAGAGGTGGGAGATTAAGATCTACCTCCTGAAGGGGAGGAGAGTAGCTACATAAATTATTTGGAATTCTTCTGTAAAAGAGATTTGTCTCTTCTCTCCTGTTTATTTACTTATTTCTAGGCAGGGGGTTGAGAATGTTATGTTTTAGGCCTCATTTTCCTCTTATTTACCATACTCTTTATGTCCTGAAGGAATTTCAGTGTTTCTTTGATGTTTTCTCACATTTATTACTTTTTTCTTCTTTTTTAAAAATTACTATAAAACCTGTTTTTGTCAGATCTTATTTGTAATCTAGACTATTTCTGCAGTGTTGTTTACAAAACTCTAAAACAACCCTTCAGTCAAAGATTAGACGGGCCCATAAAACAATAATACACGTAGCTCAACCGTGTATACAAGACTAAATGGGCACATCAGCCCGAGGGCAAGGACAAGAAAGCAGGAGGGGACAGGAAAGCTGGACAAGTAGAAATGGGGAACCCAAAGTCGAGAAAGGGAGAGTGTTGATATGTCGTGGGGTTAGCAACCAATGTCACAAAACAATATGTGTATTAATTGTTTAACGGGAAACTAATTTACTCTATAAACCTTCATTTAAAGCACAATTTAAAAAAACCCCTAAAACAGCTGATAGCTCACCAATTGTAGGATAAAGTCTTGATTTACCATATAGTTTTTTAGATAATAATATATTTTAATGATTACTTTGAGAAGTAATTTCTCCCTTCTGTATGTTTTTATTTCCACCATCTTTCTTTTCTAAACTTAGAGGGGAGGCATTATGAAAGACTGGAAAAGGCAAGGGGTTTAGAGAAAGATCTAAACTGAGTTCCAGCTATATCACTTACTTAGCTCTGTCTCTTCAGGCAAACCACCAATGAGGAACTTGAGGATGCTGGGGATAATGTGGTTTAAGTGATTAACTGGAGTGCTCATGCTGGATAAGAAATTGAATGAGACTCTTCAGATGGCTGATAAATAAGGAGAAAACATAGGGCTCAAAAGACTAGGAATTAATGGAGTTTGAAGAACTGTAGCAATGGGAGTGAGGGCATGAAACTGCTCATTGGATGGGAAGGTATTAGCAAAGAATATGTTATGGGAGTCTGCAGTTTAAGAATTAGAGTAGTTGCTGATGAAATCTGGGGTGAGAGCATCAGACAGAAATGCTGGAGTAAAATAAGGTCATGCTGTTTCAGATGGGTTTTAACATTGAACTCACACGGAATAATTTTGGTGTCAGTATGTGTGGGTGTGAAAGGAGCTTGTGAGCTAGGAACACAGAACCTCAGTGACTACTTGTGGGTTTGTGACCAGAAATGACATGACAAGAAGAGGCAGAGGGTGGCATATTCCTATTTCATGTGCTTCAAGAGTAATAATATGTTGGCAGAAGTGCCTTCTAAGCTGAGCTATATGTTCGATGTTGGTGAGGGAGGGAAGGGATAGAGAAAGTTACCAATACTTAGTAGAAGCCTGTTCTGTACTAGGTGATATACAAACCCCAGCTACTTAATCCACATTACAGACCTCTGAGGTTAGCTCTGATATCCCCACTTTGCAGAAGAATGAACTAAGAGTCAGAGAGATGAACTGTGTTTCTTACAGCTCATAAGTGATGCAGTTGAGAGTAAACCTTGGGAAGGTAGAAGAAATATACAGTAGCATGATCTATATTAGAGAAATGTTTTATGATTGAAAATATATTACAGAGGGTACTAAGTCATTGCTGAGCCTAATATAGTTGGCTTCAACAAATGTTGAATGAATCTGTATTTTTATAGGTATTTCATTTTCTAATCTTATTTTTCCACAGGTCCCATTTATTCCATGTTCTTTATGATTATTTTCCCTTACTGATCTTTGGAACAAGATGGCAGCTTCATCATCATCTTTCTTTTCTGAGTTTGGGCTGCTTTTGTATTTGGAGGAGTTGAACAAAGAGGAGTTAAATAAATTTAAGTTACTCCTAAAGAATGAGACCGTGGAACCTGGGCACTGCCAAATACCTTGGACTGAAGTGAAGAAGGCCAATAGGGAGGATCTGGCTAACCTGATGAACAAGTATTATCCAGGAGAGCAGGCCTGGAGTGTGGCTCTCAAAATATTTGGCAAGATGAACCTGAAGGATCTGTGTGAGAAAGCAAAAGCAGAGATCAGCTGTGAGTGATGCTAGGGACAGATCTGGGATAAGAAGGAGGGAGTTATTTCCTGGAGCCCATTAGAATGATTTTATAAGAGGGACATAAGAATTAAACTATGTGGTAGGATACAAGCTCCATGGTACTTATACACATTGAGAGCTTATTGGCTCATTTGAGAACCACTGACAGGACAAGATAATTTTGAGTACTGTTACTCAACCTGGCTCCTCAATGGGGTTAATTTTCATCCATTGTGTATTAATCAGAGTGATTAAAGGAATTGAGTGATAGGAATTATTCCATCCTCCAGTGTGCCTTTGCCTCAGCTATAACTAAAGTCATATTAGGTGCCATCAAGTCAGTTTTGACACATAGGGACCCTGTGTACAACAGAATGAAACACTGCCCGGTCCTGGGCCATCTTCAAACAATTGTTATGCTTCAGCCCATTGTTGCAGCCACTGTGTCAGTCCATCTCGGTGAGGGCCTTCCTCTTTCACTGACCCTCTACTTTACCAAGCATGATGTCCTTCTCCAGGGACTGATCCCTCCTGATAACATGTCCAAAATATGTGAGATGTAGTCTCGCCATCCTTGCTTCTAAGGATCATTCTGGTTGTACTTCTTCCAAGACATAAGACTGAAGTCATAGGCTAGGCTACATTTTGAGAACCTCAAATATAATTTATCATCTTTGCTGAAATATGAAGGAGTAATGGGCTAGACATAATTCAGGGACATAAGCCAAGCCAGTGTTTTTAGTCATTTTCTGGTATGATATATTGTAGACTCTCCTCATATCTAAAATTTCTTACTCAAATACATGGCTATACAGCTGCAATTATTTTGAGCCTCTGAGGTCTGTAGACACGGAAACTGAGGCTTAGACTAGACCACTTGCCCTAGAGTTATAGGTATGAGAGCATGACAAGAGGTTTCCAATTTCATTGATGTTTGTACCACATCACTTGTTCCTGCAGCTAAGTTGGTGGAGTCTGAGACTCTGTTGGTTCTAGTTTTCCCAGACCCAGCCAGTAATAGATTTGAACCACTGAGATGAAGATGCTGGCCCCTGTTCTGGCCATTACCAAAGCTTCCCTTGTTGGTAATCCCATGAGCCTGGTGGGATGTGCCTCTCTCTCTCTCTCGAATGTTGCAGTAACAGCCCAGACCACGGGACCAGAGGACACCAAGGCCAGACAGGCCCAGGGAGATCAGGAGGCAGTACTGGGTGAGTTCTGACAAACATTTAAATTGTGATCAAAAGGAGGAATCCGACTTAACTAGGTAAAGGTGAAGCTATATTTTCATTCTGCTTGGACAATTTTAAGCATTTTTTTCCCTTCAGAACATTTCTCAGGCTGTGCTTCATTGCAGATCTCTATTAATTTTTTACTTGTATACAGTGAATTATTTTTACCTGTTGATTCAGGTCTGCCTTCAGCTCCTCCCTGATTATGATATTTAATTAGTGCTTCTGTTCTTTATTTATCTGTATGATGACTCTGTTCTTCATATATATATATATATATATATATATTTACAGAATAAAAGTATAAAGGAGGGAAATATTTTTAGAGAGAATCTAATTTTAATTTTCTATCACTGATTCATTTTTTTGCATTGTCAGTTGTTTTTCACCACTTCTAATGCATGTTCTAATTCTACAAGAATATTTTTGTTTTATTTATGTTCCTATCTAAACCAGCTTCACTTTGATTTCAGCCTATATTATTCTTGTTCCTAACTCCAAATGCAGTGTTCTTAACATTGCAATCCACAGAATTTGTTTTGATCATGTGTGTCACTATTTTTTGTTTTTTTCCTGCTCCATCTTAGGTGATGGAACAGAATACAGAATACAAATAAAGGAAAAATTCTGCATCATGAGGGACAAGAACCCTTTACTTGGAGAATCGGAAGATTTCCATCATGGAATTACTCAGGAAGGTCGAGAACTGTTGGAACATTTGTTTGATGTGGATGTCAAAACTGGTGAGCAGCCACAGACAGTGGTGCTGCAGGGGATTGCTGGAGTTGGGAAAACAACCTTGGTGAGAAATGCAATGTTAGATTGGGCAGAGGGCAATCTCTATCAGCAGAAATTTAAGTATATTTTCTATCTCAGTGCAAGAGAAATTAACCAGCTGAAAGAGAAGAGCTTTGTTCAGCTTATATCGAAAAACTGGCCTAGAAGAGAAGGCCCCATTGAAAGGATCATGTCCCAGCCGGGTAGTCTCCTTTTTATTATTGATAGTTTTGATGAACTGAACTTTGCTTTTGAGGAACCTGAGTTTGCACTGTGCAATAATAGGACCCAGGAACACCCAGTGTCCTTCCTCATGAGTAGTTTGCTGAGGAAAGTGATGCTCCCTGAGTCCTCGTTATTGGTCACAACAAGACTCACAGCTTATAAGAGACTAAAACATTTGTTGAAGAGTCACCGTTGTGTACAGCTAGTAGGATTGTCTGATGATGCAAGAAAGGAGTATATTTACCAGTTTTTTGAAGACAAGAAGTGGGCCATACAAGCATTCAGTTCACTAAGAAACAATGAGACGCTTTTTAACATGTGCCAAGTCCCCCTAATGTGCCGAGTCATTTGTGCTTGTCTGAAGCAGCAAATGGAGAAGGGAGCTGATGTCAGCTTGACCTGCCAAACCACCACAGCTCTATTCACCTGCTTGTTCACACCTGTAGATAGAAGCTATCCTAGTCTAACCGACCAAATCCAACTGAAGAATCTGTGCCACTTGGCTGCCAAGGGAATATGGACTATGACATACGTGTTTTACAGGGAAAGTCTCAGAAAGCACGGGTTAACTAAATCTGATGTCTCAGTTTTCCTGGACATGAATATTCTTCAGAAGGATTCTGAGTATGAAAATTGCTACGTGTTCACCCACCTACATGTTCAGGAGTATTTTGCAGCTATGTTCTATACGTTGAAAGGCAAGTGGGGAACCACGGACCATTCCTTCCAGTCTTTTGAGGACTTGAAGCTGTTACTTGAAAGCAAAGCTTATGAAGACACCCATTTGATGCAAATGAAATGCTTTTTGTTTGGCCTTTTGAATGAAGATAGAGTAATACAACTGGAGAAAACCTTTTATTGTACAATGTCACTGGGGCTAAAATGGGAGTTACTTCAGTGGATAGAAACATTAGGAAACAGTGAATATTCTCCATCACAGCTGAGATTTCTGGAGTTGTTTTACTATCTGTATGAGACTCAGGATGAAGCATTTGTAAGCCAGGCAATGAGCTGTTTCCAAAAGATTGACGTTGATATTTGTGGGAAAATCCATTTGCTTGTGTCTTCATTCTGCCTTAAGCACTCCCAATGTTTACAGACCATTAAACTGACTGTAACTGTAGTATTTGAGAAGATGTTAAACTCAAGGCCCCCAGATGAAACTTGGTAAGTGTGTTAGGTCAGTTCCCTGGAAGTGCTTTGTAGGGGGGTGAAAGTAGATTTTGTCAGAGGGAGGAGTTGCTTTAGCTGAGGTCCCAGAGTTGGGATGACTCACCTTAAGGCAAGGAGGCCAGGCATTTAAACACACTTATTGCCAGTGAGGAAGGTGTGAAAACTTGGGTGAGATGGCTTTCTTGCTTGAGGGCAGTGCCAGGAGATGATCTTGTCTGGGAGCTATTAGCTGAGACATTCTCAACAACTAGGAATGAGTGCTTCACTTCAGTGGGGGATGGGATGGTGCAGTCTTGCATCCACAATAGTAAGTATGTTTAATTTTTAAAAATAATGCCCTCCAGAAGAATAAGGGACCAGAAATTTTCTTCCTAATGAACCTGGTATACATAGGTCATCTGTTTGGCCTATGTTCTGTCATACTCTGCTGACCTAGCTCACTTTCCCCATTGCCTAGATGTAGGTCTGCCTTTGTTCTTTGTTCCACAGTTTATCAAAGGTCTCACCCCTGAAGCACCTATCTGGAAAGAGTCAGAGGTAGGCAAAGAGATAGTAGGTGCTGAATGAATATTTTTAGAAAAATAAATGAGCCATCTGAGTTTTATGGTTTTTTTTTTTTTTCCTCCACCCTGTCTCCTACCTCAAGTTGCCATTCCTGACTCAACTCATCTTTGTCTGGGAGAATTGAGGGGTTGCTATGTATTATACAGTATATAGTGAACCAGGTATTTAACATATCCAATTTAATGCTGGTCACAACCATATCTCAATTTTCTTTTAAGATTACAAAACTGAGATTTCATAGAGATTAAAAGCAGAGCTGAGTTAGCACTCAGGACTGTTCTGCTCCAGATCTTATGCTTGTAACCATTAGGCTATCTTCTGTTTTATTCCTTATTATCCTTCATTTGTTTATAATGAATCTATTGGTAATATGGAGCCCTGGTGGCACAGTGGTTAAGAGCTCGGCTGCTATCCAAAGGGTTGGCAGTTCGAATCCACCGGCCGCTCCTTGGAAACCCTATAGGGCAGTTCCACTCTGTTCCATTGGGTTGCTATGATGTGGAATCCACTCAATGGCAACGGGTTTTGTTTTGTTTTTTATATTGATAATATGCCCTTAATTAAATTAATAATTAAACTATAAAGCACTTTAAAGTTTACAGAGTGCTTTTATATACCCACTAAAATTGACTGTTAAATCCTTAAAACCCTGTGAAGGGAGATGACATTTCCGTTTTTTACAAAACTGGAGCTCGTAGAACTGATTGACTTACTTAAAGTAATATAACTAGTAAGTAGTAGAACTTGGGCTCAAAGTTTGTGGCTCTTAACCTACACCACAGTCCCGTAATCTTACTCTTTGTGGTCATATATTATTTTCCTTTTTGATATTGGCTCTTCAGGTATTTGAAGATTTTTCTCTTGTCGCTCCTGAGTCTCTTCTGCCAACGTGAAGTCTCTCTAGTTTTCATTGTGTGTTTTTGGAGTGGATGAATGGCGCATGGGGGAGCTATGGGGCGGGGGAGGGGGTAGCCTCTGAAGTGCCAAGAATAAGACTTCCAGGTGGACTGTGCCCATGCCAAAGCTATACGGGAGGCTCTTGCAACTTCAAAGTATATTTACTTTTACCCCAGTGTCATCTTCTGGGGGTTGCTTGGGCTGAAGCTGATTAATTGGTCTTTTCTTTTTCCAATTATTTAGGCAAATAGATCATGATCACATTACTCATTGCTGGCAAGACCTCTGTTCTGTGCTTCATACAAATGAAGACTTGAGAGAATTGGACCTGTTTCATAACAACCTTGATGAATTAGCGATGAAGATTCTTTGTCAAGAACTAAGGCACCCAAATTGTAAACTACGAAAATTACTGTAAGTCTGGCATGAGAAAATTTAATGGAATTAATTCCAATTTCTTTGTTTGTCCCAACTCCCACCCCTGCTTATTAGCAGAAACCAACAGTAAGCTAATACTTTAAATCCATTGAGTAAAATAACATGAAAAAAAAAAATCTATGGGGACACAGGAGCATAACTAACTTGTTCTGGGAAAGAGTCCACAGTAGAGCCTAGTAGCTGATGACACGCATTTTTAAAGTTTGATTAGGAATTTTCCAGACGAAGGAGGACTCAGAGCTAAGGCATTCTAGACGAGTCAACAAAACATTTTTAAAGACATGTTCTGGAGTACTTAACATGTTTCATTCTGTCCCCAATTATTATTATTATTTAATTGAGGACTAAATTACATTCAATCAAACACAGATATTAAGTGTTCAGTTCATTGAATTTTAACAATTGTATACATCTATGAAACCAACATCCAAAACAAGATAGAAAATATTTCCATCAACCAAGAAAGTTTCCTTGTACCTCTTTCTAGTCAATCCTTCCACCCCGGCCAGTCCCAAATAATCACTTTCTAACTTCTGTCACCATAGTTTAATTTCGTCTGTTTTTGGAAATTATTTCATTTGATCCACACAGTATGTGTTTGTGTGTGTGTCTTCTTTTGCTTAACAAAATGTTTTAAAAAATTTATCCAAGTTGTTGCATGTTTTAGTAACTTGTTTCTTTGTATTGCTGATTAGCATTCAATTGTATGTCTATACTACAATCTGTTCATCTCTTATTAATGGACGGCTGGGGTTGTTTCCAATTGTGGGTTTTTATGAATAAGGCTGCTATGAACATTTTTGTACAAGTCTTTTTTTTTTTTTTTTTTTTTGTAGACATAGGTTTTCATCTCTTGGGTTAATACCTAGAAGTGGAATTGCTAGTTCATAAATGTATGTTTAACAGTTTAAGAAATTTTTAAGAAATTGTTAAACAGTTCTAAGTACCATTTTATATTCCCATCAGCAATATATGAAAGTTCCAAGTGTTCCTCATCCTTGCCTACATTTGCTATTGTCAGTCTTTTTTTATTTTTTCTTAGATTTGTATACTCTATCACTTTTTTATATATTGGCTTATTTGTATGTCTCTTTCCTTCTTGTCTATTAGATCTAGTAGGAACTGAACTAATCCTATTTTTCCTCTGTATCCAATGTCCGGCAATGAGGGCCTGATAGGTGCTCAGAAGTACTAACTGAACGCTGAATAAATGCTAGGTACTTGTTTCTATTAGTACTGAAGATAAATGTTCGTTTTCCTTTTTACAGGCTTCCCACCAAATGTTTTCCTTAGAATATCAGTGCTTTTAGTGAGTTCTGGCTTTAGATTTCCAGCAACTAGAGTAGGACTGATCTTGCAATTAGATATATTTTGTGATTAAGAGGTTCTTGGAAGATCTTTCTGCTGGCCCTCAAACATCCTTCCCCTACCATCCCCCACATTGTCTCTTTATTATATTTTACCAATCCAAATTTTAACAACAGCTAATGCCTTATTTTGGGTTAAAAGTCTTCCTCTTTTAGAACGCAGGGTCCCTTGAGGGGATGATACCGTAAGACTGCTCTTAGTCTTTCCTACCTAAAGGTGGCCTTATTTACTAAGATCCCTCTCCCTAACAATTGAGAGTATACTTTCAATTTGTATTTAGTGGGTGTATTAGGCACTTCTACTATGTGATGATGGTTAGTGCTCAAAATTAATAAAAGCTTTTTTCATGTGTGTGCTTGGCTAGTGGGGTGAGAGTAGATGGTGGGTAGGGGAAGAAGGGAGGAGAGGTGGTATTACAAAGGGAGGTTTTTGAATAGTTAGCAGTGTGGACATATTGAGCATTTAGGGCTAGCAGAGGGCACTATAGAAGGATCAGACATAGCTAACACTGACTGAATTAGAAGGTGGAAAATAGGAAGAAAAATGGCAGGTTTATCTTGCTTCACATTTTGCTTTGGGCTATCTCTGTACATATAACAAAGTCCACGAGATGACCAGGCATATTTTACAGTAAGGTATTTTGCTAATGATAACACACTAAATAGTTGATATCAGCTGTGAATTCACTTTGGATTATTTAAAGGATTTCAGTATTGTGAATTAATGTTGTAATTACAGTATTTAGAATGTCCCCCAGTTATTTTTGGGAATCAATGCTGGGATTAAAAATTAAGAGGCTCCTTCTCTCCATTTCATGAAGTTATCACCTTCATCTTTTCCTTCAAGGTGAAACATTAAGTGGGCATCCAAGTTTTAATTCATTTGTTTTTCTAAGCATTATCCTGGGACTTGGATTTATGACCTGACATTGAATAGGAGAAACCTAGAGTAAGATAAGAGATGGCAGGAATAGTCAGATAATATCCAGGAGTTGGATTTGAAAACAAAGGGATACAGTAACCAGGGACAGAGATGATTTTGTAACACAACTCCTCTCCTACCCCCCCCCCATATTTTTCTTCTGAAGGTTGAGATTTGTTTCCTTCCCTGATGGTTGCAAGGATATCCTTAGTGCTTTGACTCAGAACCAGAATCTGATACTTCTGGACCTGAAAGGGAGTGATGTAGGGGATAATGGAGTAAAGTCATTATGTGAAGCCTTGAAACGCCCAGAATGTAAACTACAGAATCTGAGGTAAGTCTTTGTTATTTATTAAAATTATTATTATTTAAAATTATTAAAATAGAATCTTTCAGTTGAGGCTTGAACAGTGTCTTCCACTGATAAACCTTGATGTGGACCCAGTTACCAGACTTTCAAGTGGGAAACCATCTGTATAGATTAGCTGGTAGGGCTTCTTGCACAAATGAACAGGACGTTTTGACATAAGTCACTACAGCTATGTAATAATCTAGCACTGTGTCATCTCGGACTGGATGTTTTCCCAGTGTGAGTGGTCACTCAATAGTCTTATAGACCTTCTATTAACATTTCATGTAGGAAAAGTTCCAGTTTTCTATTTACTTTAGTTCTCATGCTACAACAGTTATGCAGTGTGAAACTGGCCACTTTAGTCTGCTTTGTGCATAGATCATGTTGTTTAACTTTTTTAGAATTCCATTTTGATGTTTTATTCTCCCTACTGATTTTAGATGATGTGGGTAGTGAAAGTATTGATAAGTAGTATGTTTTTGCCAGTCTTCCCTCTGCCTGCAAAGTATGATCCCTAATTATTGTAAAGACTTTGCAAATTTAGACGTGAAGTATTTCAGGAAACTTGAAATTGCTAGTCTTGTATAGCTCTTGTACTTAGGCATGCTAAAAAGGTAACACATGATCACTAATTTTCATGTGAATGTTTCACTATAGTATTTACTAAAGGTTCCCCTCAAGAAGGGGAGAAAGATCGACTCTCCTTGTCTTGATAATTTTTTCCATATCATGGACCTGATAATAGGCAGCTCTTAAAATATATTGAGCAAATAGATTGTCTTGAATCCATGGCTCCTACTGTAAGAAGACAGTGGTCTGTCTATTTAACATCTTTTTGCTGCTAATCTCCCTTTTGACAATAGGCAGATGAATTCTGTTAGCACTGGGAAGTTTGTTTTTTAGTCTCGCCAGTTTTTACCAGATGAAATTCACTTATAGCTTATCTGGAAAGTTGTTGGATAATTCTTAAAAATAGATTGGGCAGGCTTCCCAGAAGGACCCAAATGTAAGCTTATCTATCTCCTCATTTGCTGGATCTTATTTAGGGGGTCAGTGTGGCGCCACTAACCTCAGCTCTCAGCTTCCCTTTTGATTGAATCATTGGTGAATGATGTTATATATTAATATAAATGACACCAGACATCTGAACTCTAGAAAAACAAGAAAACAAGAGTGTATATATTCATATATATGTATATACACACACATACATATATTACCTCATACATGTGAGAGGGAAGCAACAATGATCTTTTTTCTGATTTGACAAAAATATTTTCAATATTTATAACATTAAGCCAAAACCAAACCAGTTGCTGTTGAGTCAAGTTTGACTCATGGCGACCCCACATGTATAAGTAGAACTGTATGCCATACGGTTTTCAATGGCTGATCTTTCAGAAGTAGATCACAGCCCTTTCTTCCAAAGCTCCTCTGAGTGGACTTGAACCTCCAACCTTTATGTTAGCAGCTGAGAGTGTTAACTGTTTGTACTATCCAGGGACTCCATTTTATCCACAGGTCATATAGTATCGGAATCTTCTGTCCAGAAGAGCTCTATCTAAACACAATGTATTAGACTTCCCTTGTTTCTCTAACTGCCTGCTTGGCTGCTAATACAATACCCTTTTCAGGACAAGGTGAGGTTTTCAGCCCTTAGACTGTGTTCTAAGTCATCCATTGGGATCTAATGGACTGAGGAGAAGCTTCTCCTGTTCCTACTTCTATGTACCCTGATTATGATGAGGAGAACCAATTCCTGAGTGACTCCAGTTGACAGGTCTTTGATCAGAAGGAATAACTGGAACAACTCCAAGTGCCAGAAACACTTCTGCCTGACTCTTCTTAAACTACCTGATATCACTCCCAGCCATGTACAAAGCACAAGTTGTCTCTAAATTTGAGTCTCTAAAAATATGGGCTCTTCATGCAGTTCTATTTCCTTTCCTTTTACTTGTAGAACCCTTATTTTCTTTCTGATTTACCTCTCATTTTCACTTCTAAGAACTTCGTGGCCCAGAAAACAGTTTTTTTGTTTGTTTGCTTTTGTTTTTTCACTCTAGGGGTTGACTCTCATGAATAAATGAGATCTTGGAAAACAGCAGTGGAAGTCACAGCTTTTGCTCCTGATTTCCTGACCATCTCTGTTTTATTTCATAAATCAGAGTATGTAAGGGTACAGTCATCCTTCAGTCTATGTTATTCCATGTTGTAGTTAGTGAAATTCCTCTCAGATTAAAAAAAGATTATCATTTAAAATTTTTTGTTTTTATTGTACTTCAGGTGAAGGCTTATAGAACAAATAGCTTCTCATGAAACAGTAGTACACATACTGTTTTATGACATTGGTTAACAATTCCACAACGTCAACCCTCTAACTTCTCAACCTTCATTTAAAAATATTTTGAATGCCCTGTATACATATTGTCATAGGGAATTGGGAAAGTGGGGATGAAAAAGAGATAAACCTCCCACACTCCCTTCCTTAAATCTCTATCAGAGCCTTGTGAAACAATGAAATGACCCATCTGAACTTTAATTAAATAACTCCGGTACTATGTAGGGAAGTCGAATTTTTGGAAAAGGACCTAAAACCTGGGAGATCACCACCATCTGGCTAGGTGGGTGATGGTTGTACTTCTTCTCTGAAGAATGGTCATTTTTTTCCCTGTATTGTTTTCCAGGCTGGAATCCTGTAACCTAACTACAGTTTGTTGTCTAAATATCTCTAAGGCTCTCATCACAAACCAGAGCCTGATATTTCTGAATCTGTCAACCAATAATTTATTGGACATTGGAGTGGAGTTGTTGTCTGAGGCCTTGAGACATCCAATGTGTTACCTACAGAGACTGTCGTGAGTCTTTCAGTTTTGTTTTTTTATAGACTCATTTTCTTGGGTCCTGTATTGCTTAATTATGAACTGAATACGAAAACTGCTTGGGTCTTGACACCAACTGGCTGATTTGTCAATCCTGGATGGGCCTACATATACCCTCCTTTTTTTCCATTACTTCCCTGCCTCTTTTACTTGACTTTTAGAAACTTTTTCTTTCTTATAACCTCTTGTTTTCATTCTTTTCCAAGCCTCTCCTCTCCCCTTCCATGCTTTGTTTCCTCACACCCTGCACACAGCTCCTATTGGATTCATAATTTAACTGGGTTTGGTGAGGATGATTGTAGAATAGAGGTGTAGGGGTTGTGAAGCAGAGAAGCATGAACTTTAAGAATTGACTGATCTTTCCCATCTGTGTTTCTCCTTCAGTATAGAAAGGTGTGGCCTCACGGTAGCTGGCTGTGAGGATCTCTCTTCTGCCCTCATCAGCAATAAAAGACTGACACATTTATCCTTGGCAGACAATGTCTTGGGAGATGATGGAGTAAAGCTTATTAGTGATGCCTTGAAACATCCACGGTGTACTCTACGGAGCCTTGTGTAAGTGCCTTATAGTTTTTGTCCTTCTGATATAATACATGTCTTAAAATAATTGAATATGGGATATTATGAATATATTCTGTTCCTTTTCCCCCATTGTTATCCTCAGTGATAATGAAAATGATGATGATGATATTAATAATTGGCATTTATTGTGTCCTTACTCTGTGCTGGACACTGTCCTAAATGTTTAATCTGTACAATAATATCTATTAAGGTCAAACTGGCTGAGTTCTAGGTTCCTTATTGCACAGATGAAGAATGAAAGGCTTAGAAAGATTATGCAGCTTGCCTAATGTCTCATAACAAGAAAATGATGGATTCAGGACTAAAGTCCACCTATCTAACTCCATAGTTTGGGCTCAGAACAAGGTATATATGAATACCGTTAAACAGAAATATGGTATTCCATGGTATGGCTGGATCAGTGTGATCATTCTGCTCATTTCTGTCAGATAATTTCCTAGACGTGGACTTGATGGGCAAAAGTTTTATTTTGTTAGATGAGTTAAGTTGCTTTCCAGAAAGGTCCTTTATATTCCTAGCAGCAGTCTAAGGGCCTGTACTTTAATACCCTCATGGGGTATCCACAATCATTTTAATCAGTATTAATTAGATAGTTGAAAAGTAACTTTTAAAATTATTTGCTATTGAGCATCTTTTCCAATGCTTTTAGCTGTTTATATTCTAGAAATTGCTTCTTCACAGGCTCTTTTCTACTAGATCTTGCTTTTGCTGATTTGAAAGAGCTCATTGTGGTTATCTATATTACATATGCATATTAAGTTTCCTACTTGTTGCTTGATTTTTAACTTTCTTTTTGGTCATTTTTAGAAGATAGAAATTCAAAAATTTTGTGAAATGAAATTATTTTCTTCATGACTTCCAGAGTTTTTGTTAAATTTGAAACACCTTTCTTTTTAAAAAATATTTTTAAAATACTTATATAATCTTCTATTACTCTTTATGGTTTAATTTTTAATACTAAAATGTTTAACTTATCCAGAATTAAATTTATTATAAGATTTAATGTTATTTTCCCCCATATGTCAGGCCTGTTGTCAGAAAATCATTTATGGCATAATCTGTCTTTTCCCTTCTGATTGGAAATGCCACTTTTATTATGCGTACAAAGACTATGTACCTTTATTGTGATTACTCCTACTCATTTGCTTGCTCCTCTACTCCATGTAAGCTACTCTAGTAACAGGTACTATATTTATGTACAGTGTAAAGAGGTTAACATTTGATCTGAATAAGAAAACTTCTGAAGAACACGAATCCAATTTGTAGCTCAACTGGGTACAGACCTAAGTTTCCCAAACGAGACAGCCAAAAAGGCAAGAGGGAAGAATGTGTTTGGTCTGAGATGGAAGGGCTGTTGAAGTGTTGGCAAGTACGTAAGGGATTCTTACGTGAAATCTTTTCAAAGATAAGGAACCATTGCTCTACTGCCCAGAGATTTATCTTTCCTCACATTGTTCTTCCTACAGGCTGAGGCGTTGCTATTTCACTTCACTTAGCAGTAAATATCTCTCAGCTTCTCTTCTACTCAACAAGAGCCTGACACATCTGGATCTGGGGTCAAATTGTCTAAAAGATGATGGAGTAAAGCTTATGTGTGATGTCTTTCGGCATCCAAGCTGTAATCTTCAGGATCTGGGGTAGGTTTTTTTGTGACTTTACTTTTGTTGTAGCTTCAACTAGAATTTCTTTGAGGGCATGGGAAATAGGACAGAAAGTCTGAGAGCTAAGTATCTGTCACAGAAAATAACGGATAGCTGATTCTCACTCTCATTCTGCCTGAAACAAACTAGGAAAGTCTGTTTATCAGATTTTAAAAAAAATAGTAACTTCAGTAGTTGAGATCAACTTTCCTCAGGTAAGAAGCACCAGAGACATCAGGTTGAACAGTTACCATAGACCATCCTGCTAGGCCCAAGACAGTGTTTATGACACTAGGCATTTTTTACAAATTTTCTCTTACTGCCTCCATCATTTGTTTTTTTCCTTGGTTGTGGCCCAGTGAGTTTACTGTGTCTCTTCTACTTGATATCTGTGAAGCTGAAATTGTGCTCTAGTTTTTCTTTCTTAAATGCAGGTTTACAATTAGGTCAGCTTCTGTAGAATCTGTAAAAGGAATTTTAAAAAATATCCTACAATCAAATAATCCTTTAATAACAACTGTTTTTATTTCTATTATGTTCTCTCTCTGAGCAAGTACACATACATATACATATGTTACATGCACATGTAATCGTGATTATTGTAGAGGCACAACTTTGTGTTTTCGTTTTCACATGATAGTATTCCAGAAAGACATTTAAGTATTTACATACAATTATCTTAATGATTATTTTAATGGCTGCATGCTATTTAATATTTCATTGTATAAATATCATGGCTAGAATGAAGGCAAGACAGATGTATCAGCAATTTAGGCTCACTTTTCCACTAGGACCTCCTATGGAACTAGTAGCTTGAATGAGTCATTAAGGGTCTAATTCCAACATTGTTTCTTAGAACTATAATCTCAAACTCATACCCAAAGGTGTTTGGCTTTGAATGGACTGACTCATGATAACCAAATTTCCAAATGAATTTAATAATTGATTGTAATGCCTGTAAAACACTGAGGTAATTGAATTCTCAGGTCCAATAAGCATCTCTCCTTCCTTTAAGAAAATGTATGTGATATGGGTTACTATATGATTCTCTGAAATTTGATTATTATTCAACTGGAAAACAAAGTTTTACTTAGTAGATATTATCATTGAATGTACTGCCTTCATTTCAACTACAGGGATATAATTTGTAAGTGATCTATACATTCAAGGTCTTTGCTTAGCACACTTTCTCACCTTAGCATTTGCTGTAAACACACAAATTTGTGCTTTCTTAGCTACCTTCATAGCCTCCTTGCAGGCCATGCCAATTTTCTCAGCAAATATTTACAACAAATATAAGCTAGATGCCGAGGAGACTAGACATTATGGAGGAAATGCTCTTGTCCCCAAGTAACTTACAAAGTGGTGATGACAGGGACCTATAAAACCAACTATGATATATTCTATATGTTGTTACAATGATATGGTAAAAATTTCAAGGAGCAATGAGTGGGAATTCACAGAGGAGGAGTTATTTTAGGGTTTAAAGATGAAGAGGATTTTGTTACACAGAGATATTCTGGGCAGAAGGAAAGAAGAGAGTAAATATGGAGAATAATAACAGATGTGGTATATTTGCAGAACAGTAGGTACGTATGATTAGAGAACAGGGTAGGGAGCAAAGTTGGGAAAGAAAAAGCTTAGGGCCAGATTGTGAACAGTCTTGAATCTCACGTAAAGGACCTGGGAGAAATATCTTTTTACATATAGTTTTCTTCTTTTTTGGAAATAACAATTTGAGAGTTTCATAGAAATCTTTTTTGTTCAAAAATATATTTAAGAGTGAAAGCTTAGAGACCTGTGGGTTCCTTGAGAAAGCTTATATCCATTTTTTAGTACTGATAGAAATGTTTTTATACCCTTGATTTGGGAAGCTTGGTAGATAACCTGTTTTCAGGAGAAAGTAGTTTTACCCTTTGGTTTCTTCTGCTCATAAAGAAATCCCAACGGCTTCTCTTGTAAAGTTAGATCTTCCCATGTACCGCCTGGATTGTAGATTGAAAAATTCAGAAAATAGGTTCAAATACCTGGGCATCTCTCCTAATGAAGAAACAGATTAAGCCTCACAACTGAAGGACTCACTTCTCCTTTGTATCTCTTGTAGATTGATGGGCTGTGCTCTTACCAGTGCATGCTGCCTAGCTATAGCTTCTGCTATTTTGAACAACTCAAACTTGAGGATCCTGGACCTTGGGAACAATAATTTACAGGATGATGGAGTGAAAATTCTGTGTGAGGCTTTGAGACATCCAAGCTGCAACATCGAGAGACTTGGGTGAGTACACAGTTTTCCATACCTATATGGTGTCTTCGTATAGCTAAAAGAAGTTTAGTATATGTAGAGAGGATGAAAATTAAATGAGGCTGGAAGGTAAGTTATTCTCAGAAATAAGAATCTGAATTCCAAATATCTGGATCAATGTATTGCATATTCTTTAGTATAGAATCCATATTTCATATTTATTTGTGCCCCTCTTAGAGCCTTGGACAGGATATGTATTAAGTAAATGGTATGTCATTTAGGCCCTCCATGTTCTATTATCTTTCAGATATTCCATCTTTCTTGAATTAATTTTGCTTATTAAATTACCTTATGTCTGGAAAATACTATCTCTTCTCTCAAGGAGCTTGCAATCTAATTAAATCTCATTCTATGTTCTGAATACCTTTTATGTTCAATCCTATATAGTTTAGATATTTTCTTTTTAAATCTTGAACTGATATTGACTGCTACATTTTTACTTATATAACATGAATGACTGACCTCTGGATCAAGAATTGTGCTCCATGTTTGTGGAAAGCCCAGGCACAATGATACCTCTTAGCCTTTAGAAATTCAAGTCTCCCAGAGAAATCTTTCCTGATGCTTACAAGAAAGTGTTGTTTTCCTGTGTTTCAATTGACTCTTCATATATTTTTATCATGACAACAATGGTGTTGTAACTTTTGGGTCTGAGAGTATACTGTTTCATGGATGCTGGCAGACGACATGACTCTTATCAGAGACAAAGGTTTTTATTACTCACAGTGCAGCAAGTAGCATGAGCATCAGCGTGTTTTGTGGCAGTTTCCCTTTCCCCCAAGTCCCACAGGGGTGATGTGGAGGGCCCCGATGGATGCCTGCACATGCAGTGGGTTGCATCACAAGAGAGGAACATTGAGCTTGAGGGACCCACCATTTTATAGCAAGTAGTAAACAAGCCTGCTCTCTGTCCTGGAAGGAGACGTTACCTTATCCCTTAACCCTTTCATGGACCATGGAATATTTATGCCTGTGTTACATTTTCCACCCCTAGAGGTTTATTGGCAGGCATCTGAGCCACTTTAGTACGTTCTGCATGATGGCAGATACTGATGCAATTGCCTAAAAAACAGGTAAGTTGGTCTGCACCACATTTGAGTGCTAAGAGCCATTTGTATGAGAGGATGCTTCCCAGAGGAGTGATTGTGTGAAACTTTTGGCTTCTGTACGGCGAGATAAGACTTGCAAGTATGTTCACAATTACCTTTGTGTTACTAGGAAGGTGTGGTTACCAGCATTTGGAAATATCCAAGTAAATGAGTTATTTTTGGGGTGAAAACAACTCGTGACGCACTTCCTGGACCATGGGACTGATATGTCCTGTGTGTGTGGTGTGCTTCATGGAACATGGTACCAATATGGCCCACTGTAGATCAAACTGATAACAATTATGTGCAAGTGCAATGTTTATTTAGTATTTTGTGTGTACTTCTGTGTATTTTTTGAAAGTTGAGTAAGATATTTTATGGCTCAAGTATAATCAGGAAGTGTAATGCATCATGGGACCAATGTGTCCTGTGTGTGTGATGTGCTTCATGGAACATGGGACTGATAATATTCTGCCTGCAATTGGAACCTCATTTTTTCAAATAATAAACTACCAATAATGATTCAGCATCCATTCCATTAGTGAAAAAACATGGCATCACCAAAAAATTCCAAATAATAATTTATCCATGAAAAGGTTAAGGTTGCTCATTGCAAACAACAACCCTAGAGAGTGGCCCAGGTAAAGAGTAGTCAGGGCCTGCATTCCTGTCAGCAAAACATGTAGGAGAGTGAAAGACCCATGTAGGAGATTTTCCAACAATATCTATCTCTCATTTCTATACAGTCTTGGCTTCCGGCAAGTTTTCAGAAGAGTATGCTACTCCGTTGGCCACTCTGATTAATCTGACCAACAAAGGTTGGGACCAAATCTGTTCAGTTTGTCTCAGAATTTTGGTTCTTTTTCTCCTTTGAGTTTCCAAATAAACTTTTAAACATCAGCTTATCAAGTTACACACACACACACACACACATATACATGACATTTTGATTGGAATTGTATTGAATCTATCGATTAATGAGTCAGTGTGCCAAAATAATGTATCTTCCTATTTATTCAGGTCTTCTTTAATGTCCATCAGTAAAGCTTAGTAATCTTCCATTTAGTGGCCTTTTATTTTGTTTTCTTGCTAAATTTATTCCCAGGTATTTGGTATATTTCAATGATATTGTAAATAAGTCTTGTTTTTACATTTTTATCTTTATTCCTTATATAGAGAAACAGAGTTCATTTTTGTATGCTGATTTTATATCCAGAAGTCTTGCCAGATCCTCTTACTGATTCTGATTTCTTATTTGTAGATTCTTTTGGATTTTTCTAGATAAAAATTTTTATATTTGGGAATAATTTTTTTTCCCTTTCCTATCCTTATATATATTTTTCTTTTTATTGCCTCAGTAACTGCTAAAACGTGATATAATTGACAAGTGTATGTAAAATTGTAGGAGTGGTAGTAACATGAGAACCTGTCTAACTTCAAGGGGAATAATGACCAGGATCAGCCCAAAGCTGATTCCCATGAGGTAGAGGTCAGATACCTCTACTCTCCAACCTTTTCACCAATTCTGACACCAGCTGTCCCTCCCACTGCACTCTCTACTTCTCTTCGGGGTTCAGTAATCTGTTGCCATGGCCACACAGAACTCACAGACTGTATGAGTTACTTACAGGTAAGTGGTTTATTAAGGAACAGGGTACAACTCAGGATCAGGACCAACAGGCTACAACTCAGCAATCAGTATCAGGAAGCATGTAGGCAAAGTCTCCTTTCTTCAGTGCAGGACAGCTCTCTCAGCTCCTCTGGGTCATGTAGGCCTCCTCCTCTTGGCACCCCTGAGGGCAGGTTCCCCTGGGTGCCACTGTCTGTCGTCACCAGCTCCAACGTTGGGTCCTTTCTGGGCTTCTTGCTGTCTTCAGTGTTACAGCCCTTAACCCCTGTGTTACAGCTCTTTTAGGAGGTTCCTTGCCTCCTCGCTCTCTCTCTGGTTCTCCTCTTCTTCCTTCTGCTTCTCTTCCTGCTTCTTTCTGTCTCTAAAAATGCTCTGTGGGGCTGGCTGCTAAAATACACAAACCCCTTGTCAGTTTCAAGGCATGGCATTCCCACCAGAGCCACAAACTGACCAATCGCCTTAGTAGGCCACAGATACTTCATTTGCATAGTAGGCTACAACTCGTCTCATTTACATAGTTTATTTGACCACTTCCTGCAAGGTGCATACCAATCAAGGGCAGGCTGCAGCCCAGGACCAGACAAAAAGTATCAAACCAAGTTGTTTACAGCTTGCCCAGGAAATGTCAATCAACCTGGACAAAAACAACAAACTCTCTAGGGTAGAAAACTAGGGCAAAGGTAACTCCTCAGGGTTTAGGTGAAAAATCTCTCAAGCTGTTTTTCCAAAGAACCAAGGCAAAAGGCCACATAAAAGAACTCATTTCACAACAGTGTGTTAATCCTTGTGTTGTACCCAATCTTGAAAGCAAAATTTCATTTCTACCCATTTATCCATTTAAGGCATTTCCCTCATATTCCTAGTTTGCCAGTAAATCTTTTTTATTCTTTTAAAATCATGAATAGATGTTGAGCTTTATGAAATTACCAAGCGTGGTGAGTCACACTGATTTATCTATTTATCAACCTTGAATTTGGGGCTAAAACTTACTTGGTCATGGTAGCTCTTACATAAATTGTTTGATTTATTCTGCTAATATACTAAAATTTAGAATGTTTGTTCATAATTAACATTAGGTTGTAATTTTCCTTCTTGTGCTGACCCCATCAAGTTTTGGTATCAAGATTACGGTATCTTAATAAAATTAGTTCAAGATTGTACCCTCTTTTTCCTTTTCTGTTTTCTGGAAGAATTTGTGTAATATTGGAATTATTTCATCTTTAAACTTTGGTAGAAATTTCTGGTGAAGCCATCTGATCTGGAGTTTCCTTTGTGCGGAGTTTTTTTTTTTTTTTTTTTGGTAAACTTTTGATTAAATTGAAAAAACATTTATACACTTTATTTAAATTTTTCTCTTATTTTTGGTAGGTAATATTTTTATGATTTTATCTCAATTTTAAAATTTATTGGCAAGTGTCATAATATTTTACTATTATCTGCTTAACTTCTAAAGCATCTGTAGCTATGTCTTTTTTCTCATTCTTGATATTTGCAATTTGAGCCTTTTCTCGTTTTATCTTTTCAAAGACTATCACATTGTTCTCTACATTGCATATATGTCTTCTGTTTCACTGATTTGTTTATATCCTATTTTTTACTTTTGGGTTTATTTTACCATTCTTTATAAATTCTTGAGAGAGAGACTTAGTTCATGTATATTGTTTTCTAATATAGGTATTTAAGGCTATGATTTCCCTTCTAATCATTGCATTAGCTTCATCCTACAAATTTTGTTTTGATATGCAGTGTTTTTGTTATTTTTCAATCCAAAATATTTTTAAACTTCCTTTATTTTCTTTGACCCATAAGTTATTTTAAAGCATACTTCTTAATTTTCAAACATAAGAGGGTATTCCTGTTATATTTTTAAATTTGATCCCTCTCATTGTGGACTGAGAGCATGCTGTTCATGATTTCAGTTTTTGAAATTTTCTGACATGTGCTTCATGACCCAGTATATGGTCAATGTTTGCATATGTTCCATGGTGTACTTAAAAATAATATGAAAAGTTGTTGGTTGCAGTATTCTGTATCAGTTCATTAAGATTGTTAATTATGTTCATACTATCTATATTTTTGGTGCTTTTTTTTTTTTGGAAGATTGTTCAATTACTGTGAAAGGTACATAAAATCATAGTACTGATTCTATATTTGTGTCTTTCACTTTGTAGTTCTGTTAGTTTTTGTTTATATATTTTGAGACAGTGATTAATTACTACAAATTTAAAATGACTATAGTTTCTGATGAATTCTTGATGATAACTTTTATGTCTTACAATTCTTTTTGTCCTAATGTTTATTTTGTGTGTATTATTTTTACACCTTGTGTCATAATTAGTGGGTCTATTTCTCCACCACATTAATGTGACTTCCATGTGAGCAGCAACTTAAAAGTTTTGTACACTCAGCACCTATATAGGCACTCAGTTGTTCAATGGCTAGGTAAATTAGGGTGAAAATTTAATTAAAATTAGTTGGCTGGGGGGAACTTCTGGTGCAGAAGGTTGAGTTTAGCATACTCCTCAATTCATGGTATTATATTATCATTGGGTTGTTCAAGGGCCTTCAATGGACTGATTGGTTGGTTTGTTAGTTGGTTAGTTTATCTCCATTAACCATTCTCCTTCCCAACTACAGGCAACTGATCTAACGTGTTTAAAACATACAATAGAATTGTGAGTATCCTTGTAAAAATATGTAATGTTGCTTTTGTATGCATTTTTATTTGCATAAATTGCGTGGTGCTATGGTGCTAGAGACCTCATTACACCCACTCCTCACCTACTGACATGGTTATGTTCCAAAAACAAGGTGGTTATGCAAAAATTGGTGTTACAAAAAGATGAAGGATGACCATGTCAGATCACAAAATGGAAGATGGCTACATTCCATAACTGCCAAATCACATCATTCCATAACTGCCAAATCACATCATTCCATAACTGCCAAACCACTGAGAATCGTGGCCTAGCCAAGTTGACACATAACCTTAACCATCACAGCCAGCATTACTCTTACCTTGTACCTCGGTGTTTGGATAGTAGATTTTTTGCTGTTGTTGTAAATGCAAAATGTCAAATAACAAGATAGCCGACAAGTGAGGAGTAGATGTATATACAGTGCCTTGTTTTTTAAACACTCAATACCAAGTTTCTAAAATCTACTTTTGTTACTATACATACATCTAGTTCATTGATTTATCTGCTTCATAGCATTCTAGTGTGTGTCTTACGTATGTTATTTTACCGTAGGCTATAATTGTTCTTGTTGTTGTTAGGTGCCATTGAGTCAGTTCCGACTCATAGAAACCCTGTGTACAATAGAATGAAACACTGCCCGGTCCTGTGCCATCCTCACAATCATTGCTGTGTTTGAGCCCATTGTTGCAGCCACCGTGTCAATCCATCTCGTTGAGGGTCTTCCTCTTTTTTTTGACCCTCTATAATTATGAATTTGTAATTCATGAATTAGGAAGGGATATTTTCAGCCTATAAGTATCTAACATTAAAGACTATTATAAGAGCTTCTATTCCTTGAATTTACCCTAACTGTGCTCTTATTTTTAAGCTACTGGAGTTATCTCCATTCCAGGCTCAGATTTCTTGTCTGCTTGCTCTTCCTCATGGGATAAAAAGTTATTTTTATCTTGTCTCTCTTCTCTGCAGGTTGGAATACTGTGGTTTGACCTCCCTTTGTTGTCAGGATCTCGCTGCTACTCTTAGCAGCAACCAAAGACTCACAAAAATAAATCTGACACGGAATATCTTAGGGTGTGAAGGAATAAAAAAGTTGTGTGAAGTCTTGCAGTCTCCCGGATGTAAACTACAAATTCTAGGGTAAATCTTCATTGGTTTCTCAAGGGGAAAATTTCCTGTAATGAGAGATTTGAGAGCCACCCATTTATTGCAAGCTCAGGGTCAACCTGATTTCATCTTTTAGCGCTTGTGTATCTTTGGGCATTTTCTAGGCCCTTATTTGTTTTCCTCCCTTAGAATGCTGAGTTTTGAGAGGTAATATAGCATAGTGGTTAAGAGGTGAGAATTTGAATTTGAAAGCCGAGTTTGAATTCCGGCCCTGCCACTTGTTTGATGTTTGAGCTTGGGCTAGTTGCCCAATCTGTGTTTTAGTTTTGTTATTTGTAAAATGCATGAAATGATAAGACCTACCTATACCTATTGAGGGAGCCCTGGTGGCACAGTGGTTTAAGAGCTCGGCTGCTAAGCAAAAGATTGGCAGTTTGAATCTACCAGCCACTCCTTGGAAACCCTGTGGAGCAGTTCTTCTCTGTCCTGTAGGGTTGCTATGGGTCAGAATTCACTCGCCGGCAGCGGATTTGGTTTTACCGGTATAACTATTGAGAGGACAGATCAACTGAATCAGTATAGGCTAAGTACTGTTTTGTATTCCATTTTCCTTCAAATTCTGTCTCTTCTTTCTCTCTGTCCCTCACAGCTCCCTTCCCCATTCCTCAGTCATGTTGGTATTCCCTCTCTAGTTTAACATAGCAGTTTTGGTTTTTTTCCTGAAGTAAATTCTCCACAGAGAAAGTGCAGGGCTGTAGGGAAATACACTGCAAGAAAACAGATGTTCCCTTGTTTTCTCAGGTTGTGCAAAGAGGCGTTTGATAAGGAAGGCCAGAAACTGCTGAAGGCTGTGGGAGTTAGCAATCCACATCTAATCATTAAGTCCACCTGTAATGACCAGAATGAAGAAGATGGGTCCTGGTGGCAGCATTTCTGATTTGAAGAAGCTGGTACTCTTTGAAAAAAAAAAAAAAACCAAAACCTCAGAGTGACAAGTATTGGGGCTCTTTTAGATATTCTATGACCAGATGTAGTGCAGTTAACATCTGTTGGATACAGTTAGTTGTTAGTTACTTCTCTGTAAAATGTCTGTTCTACTTCACGTGGGGTTGGGAGGCTAAAGTAAAATGAAAAAGATAAAGTTCACTGAAAAGTGTAACATGATGTTTTTAATTGGCTGCAGAGCTTAAGAACTCAGATGAGAAAAGCCTAGAAGTGAGACTAGAGGGTGGGGCCAGGGAAGATTATGTTAAAAGCACCACCTTGTTTTCCCTTCTCTCCCTTCCCACGGTCATGACTTAGTTCAGACTTGCCATCTCTGGCAAGTGTTATTGGAATGTTTCTCCATGTATGTTCTGGGGACCACAGGTGTCAAAATCACTTCGTGTCAAAAAGACGTGCTCAATCATAATCTCTGGGGTCCCAGGAACTGGCATTTTTAATCACTTCCAAGGCAATACTTAGGTACATTAATGTTAGAGAATCACTAGTCTCAAAAGATATGGGAATCTATTCTGCAATGCACATTTTCTGTAGCCTATTGTGAAGGATAAGGGGGTTTAATTCCTTTTTAGGGGATGTAAGGTTATTGGACTAGAGCTAAAAACAGGTTCCTCCATTTGGCAGAAATAATGGCATAATAAAATTTTTTGTAAGTGCCGTTTTGGTTATTTATTGCTATGTAACAAACTACCTTAGTGCCTGTCTTATCTAGTGCTGCTATGACAGAAACACCACAAATGAGTGGCCTTAACAAACAAAAACTTATTTTCTCACAGTTTAGGAGGCTAGAAGTCAGAATTCAGGGCGCTGGCTCTAGGGGAAGGCTGGCTCTAGGGAAAGGTCCTTGTTTCTTTTCAGCTTCCATTCCTGGGTTCCTTGGCAATAATGTGGTTTGTATCTTCCCTATCTCTGCTCCGTTGCTGCTGGCTTATTCTGCTCTTTTATATCTCAAAATAGATCGATTTAAAATACATCCTACACTAATACTGCCTCATTAACATAACAAAGAAGACTCTTTCCAAATGGGATTATAACCACAGGTATAGTAGGATTTACAACACACATTTTGGGGGGACACAGTTCAATCCATAACAATGCCCTTTTATTATATAGTAAAGCCTGCGAAAGCAGGAAACTGTGTAAGGTGGAAGCCTGTCAGAGGAAAACTCAAATGTTGTTAGGTGCCATTGAGTCGGTTCTGACTCATAGCAACCCTATGTACAACAGAATGAAACACTGCCTGGTCCTGCGCCATCCTCACAATCATTATGCTTGAGCCCATTGTTGCAACCACTGTGTCAATCCATCTACTGAGGGTCTTCCTCTGTTTTTAATATATATATATATTTATTGTACTTTAGATGAAGGTTCACACTACAAATAGTTTCTCATTAAACAGTCAGTACACATATTGTTTCATGACACTGGTTAACAACCCCATGACATGTCAATGCTCTCCCTTCTCAACCTTGGAGGACCTTTTTTTTTTTTGGTGAAAATATACATTGCCAAAGTTACACCATTTCAAAAGTTTCTACATGTACAATTCAGTGACATCGATTCCATTCTTCCAGTTGTGCTGCTATTCTCACTATCCTTTTCCAAATTATTCCATCACC